CTGGAGGGTTAGTCACTCTGGAGGGTTAGTCACTCTGGAGGGTTAGTCACTCTGTAGGGTTAGTCACTCTGGAGGGTTAGTCAGTCTGGAGGATTAGTCACTGGAGGATTAGTCACTCTGGAGGATTAGTCACTCTGGAGGATTAGTCACTCTGGAGAGTTAGTCACTCTGGAGGATTAGTCACTCTGGTGGATTAGTCACTCTGGAGGATTGGTCACTGGAGGATTAGTCAATCTGGAGGGTTAGTCACTCTGGAGGGTTAGTCACTCTGGAGGGTTAGTCACTCTGGAGGATTAGTCACTCTGGAGGATTAGTCACTCTGGAGAGTTAGTCACACTGGAGGACTAATCACTCAGGAGGGTTAGTCACTCTGGAGGGTTAGTCACTTTGGAGGATTAGTCACTCTGGAAGGTTAGTCACTCTGGAGGGTTAGTCACTCTGGAGGGTTAGTCAGTCAGGAGGGTTATTCACTCTGGAGGATTAGTCACTCTGGAGGATTAGTCACTCTGGAGGATTAGTCACTCTGGAGGATTAGTCATTCTGGAGGATTAGTCACTCTGGTGGATTAGTCACTCTGGAGGATTAGTCACTCTGGAGGATTAGTCACTCAGGAGGGTTAGTCACTCTGGAGGGTTAGTCACTCAGGAGGATTAGTCACTCTGGAGAGTTAGTCACTCTGGAGGATTAGTAACTCTGGAGGATTAGTTACTCTGGAGGATTAGTCACTCTGGGGGATTAGTAACTCTGGAGGGCTAGTCACTCTGGAGGATTAGTCACTCTGGAGGGTTAGTCTCTCTGGAGGGTTAGTCACTCTGGAGGATTAGTCACTCTGGAGGATTAGTCGCTCTGGAGAATTAGTCACTCTGGAGGGTTAGTCACTGGAGGATTAGTCACTGTAGGATTAGTCACACTGGAGGGTTAGTCACTCCGGAGGGTTAGTCACTGGAGGGTTAGTCACTGGAGGATTAGCCACACTGGAGGGTTAGTCACTAGACCAGCTAGCCACAATAAGATTCATCCAACTAGGTATATTTCTACACCATAGGAAGGTTAGCACAGGCACCACTGTGACCACATATGCAAGTTTTTACAGACGAATCTCCAGCTAGCGAGGCCGTGACGAACTCTAGCTCAAGTCCCTTCACTGCCGGCAACATGACTCAAGAAATCGTAATGACACGATTGCAAACAAACCATACCCCCGGCCGGGATTGAACCCGCGGTCATAGTCTCAAAACTCCAACCCGTCACGTTAGCCACTAGACCAGCTAGCCTGTGCTAATCTTCCTATGGTGTAGAAATATACCTAGTTGGATGAATCTTATTGTGGCTAGCTGGTCTAGTGGCTAACGCGACGGGCTGGAGTTTTGAGACTATGACCGCGGGTTCAATCCCGGCCGGGGGATGGGCGAGTATTTATAACCGTTCTAGCGTATATATTGACAATTGTAATTATACTTACTATGAATGTAATGACAGGTAATCCTATGGTTATTTAATGTATTGTATTGTTTCAATATAAAAAAAAAATCCCCCCCAAAAAAAAGATTCTTGAGTCATGTTTTTAATGGTATATGTAATTGGTTATGTTTATTATCGGCTATGGGGTCATGTGTGTTATATTTTTTGTAGATTAAAATATTTTTATATACTGTTTTGTTTGTGTACATGTATGCATATGCATGGGTTTTCCTTTTTTTGTGAAATCAGTTTTTTCTTGTGTCACCCTTTAAATATTGTTTTGAGCCTTTGTTAAAGGTTAGGCTCTAGTAAATACCTAATATTGGTATGTTAATGTTGTTTTAAAGTTATATATGATAGGTTAGTACTCTGTTACTGGTAGTTGTTTCGAGACGTTTTGTTGTAAGCTTATTCTTTATGTATTGCCATTTTTTCATTTTTTTTTTTACACAGGGTTTGACTAGGTTAAGGATCCCTAGCTTTATTGACAAGCTAAGAGCTGTTACCTACATCAGCTCATTTGAAAGCATTTTTATTGTTATGAGACATACAAGTAGGGAACAGGATGAAGTTGGAGCCATCTGTGGGCCAGCATTTTCATTTGATCAACTGACCTTATCTCGTTGACATCATTATGCTGTACGAATGTGTTCCATACTCGAGTCATCCTGGGTATATATGATCTCAGATGGAGTGATGTTCTGGAGAAGGGTACAGCCAGAGTGAAGTTGCTGCTTTCTGCCCGTCTTGTGGCATAAAAGCTTGTTTCACGCTGTCCTCGAAGTGGATCCAAGTGTGGTATTTTGACAATATTGGCCTTGTACATAACAGTAAGGCCACCCACATCCCTCCTATGTTGAAGGCTCTGCTGAAATGACAGATCTATCCAGGATGGGTCCAGACGAGAGATGAGACGTCTTGCTCTGTTCTCTACTCTCTCGAGCAGTCGCAGATGAGAGGGGGGGGCAGGCAAACCAAGAAAGTGGAGCATACTCAAGGTGCGAACGTACTTGTGACTAGTGGATGCAGCCATTGTTCTGAGAACTTTATGTTATCTTTTTATGTCTATTTATATTCTTGAATTATGTACTGCTGTACTGTTTAAATATAATAAAAAAAAGTCCACATTAATTTATAATTCACTATTATTGGTACTAATGCTTAATACGGTAATTATTAATTTAATGTTAGGTCTAGTTTTTTCTGTGGGAGTGGCATCGAGGGAGTGACAGTGTTAAGTCCCACTTACCTCACCCAAATTACTTGCAGGAAATAATTCAGGTAATACACTTAACTTCGTGCAGGTTATTTGCTCACATAATTTATATACACATAATAAAAAGAACCACAAAACCCACTAGGGTCATATAGCTCTACACTGAAGCTATACAAAGCCTAACCTAATTAAAGTTTTAATCAAAGGGTATCCAGTTCCTTTGATCTAGAGCCCTTCACTGGCACCGGTTTTCTCCCTCGATCAAGAATATTAAACTGGCTAAATCCACGTGTAGGCTTATGTACAGAACTGCATAGCTCAGTGTCTTATTCCCCTCAAGGAAGGTTCCTTGATGTTGGTGAGGGGCTCTTGATTTAGGGAATTGGATCTGTGCTCCAGTTCCCCGAATTAAACCTGAATGCCTTCCACATCCCCCCCCCAGGCGCTGTATAATCCTCCGGGTTTAGCGCTTCCCCCTTGATTATAATAATAATCAGTGTCTTATTACTCTCGGAATATTAATTCTATGTAAGGTATCAAACTTTAGACCGTTGAACAGCGACTTTCAGATTTAATCCGCATTTAGTCTAGGCTTGAAGCGTCATTAACCAACCATAATATCATAAATGTTATAAGTAAGTAAGTAAGTAAGTAAGTTTTATTCAGGTATACACAAATACAGTTACATAGAATTATCATACATAGCAGCATTGTGTAGAGAACCTAGGATAACCCAAAAAAGTCAGACAGTGACTTATTTCCATTGGGGTCCTTGAAAGTTTATACTGCAATTAGCAGCCGGGCTAGTTCCAGGTTAAATTATAAGAGTTAATCCATTCTGCAGTCTAATGTAAAGCTGCAGTGAATACCCATGGGTAATTGACGTTTTATCTATAACAGTTTAAACCCTTACTAGGACGAGGGAAAAAGGGGACGATAAACCCCCAGGGATCATAAAACACGGTGGGGGGGGGGGGGTAATTAAGGCATATTTCGAGCCAAAGTGGATTTTCTGTAAGCCACTTGCCAGCATCAGTGAACCTCCCTCAAGGTAATAGAAAGTAACCATTTACACAAGACTGCTCGTCGCACGGGAGAGAACCACATCAGTTAAAATTAGTGCTGCATCCACTATTATTATAATCAAGGGGGAAGCGCTAAACCCGGAGGATTATACAGCGCCTGGGGGGGATGTGGAAGGCATTCAGGCTTAATTCGGGGAACTGGAGCACAAATCCAATTCCCTAAATCAAGAGCCCCTCACCAACATCAAGGAACCTTCTTTGAGGGGCCACACGAACCGGCTTTCAAGTTCAGCCTCTCATTTTAAGAATGCTCTAGGTACCCGTTGTACTCTGCACCCTACTTAATAGTGGATTCTAATTATAATCATGGGGGAGCTCTAACCCATAGGATTATACAGCGCATGGAGGGAGATTTAAGGCATTCAGGCTCAATCCAGGAACTGAAGCAGATCCAATTCACTAATCACGAGCACCTCACCAGCATTAAGGACACTCCCTTGAGGGTCGCCCTCATCAGCATCAAGGTACTTCTGACGAGGGAACATTATAATAAAGGGGAAGCGCTAAACCCGGAGGATTATACAGCACCTGGGGAAGGGGATGTGAAGGCATTCAGGCTTAATTCGGGGAACTGGAGCATAGATCCAATTCCCTAAATCAAGAGCCCCTCATCAACAAAGGATTATAATAAAGGGGGAAGCGCTAAACCCGGAGGATTATACAGCGCCTGGGGGGGGGGATGTGGAAGGTATTCAGGCTTAATTCGGGGAACTGGAGCACAGATCAAATTCCCTAAATCAAGAGCCCCTCACCAACATCAAGGAACCTTCCTTGAGGGGCCATAAAGGAACCTTCCTTGAGGGGTGACGAGGGAACAGGAATTAAAGTATTTGAGGCAGAATAAATTCTTTAAACGAGAACTTTTCAACAACTTTCCTTGCCACAAATTTGTTATACTTCGCCAGCTCTGAACCCCTTCAGGGTTGCTTAAACACCCGAGAAGATTATTTTATCCACTGGAACAGCCAGTTCCCTAACACTCCACAACCAGTATTTTAATTTGACATCAGATAATCATGGGAGAGCACTAAACCCGTAGGATTATAGTGCATGTAGTGGGGATATGGAAGGTATTCAGGCTTAATTCAGGGAACTGGAGCAGACCCAATTCCCTAGATCAAGAGGCCCTCGCCAGGGTCAAGGAACCTCCCTCGAGGGGTTCCCGACATCCAGAAAGCACCTGAAATTAGCAAGGAGACAAGGTTCAATATCTAGCACAACTAAGGGTACGAAATAAATTTAGTAGAAATCAATTTATTCCTTTTAAATAAACATAATACTTATACTAATGGAATAATGTAAAAATTGATATCCTAAATCATGTACAGTTAACCTAAATAAAGGATAGGAATTTAGAAACACTTCCTGTGGACAATAGAGGGGCCAGATTCATCATATTCTTGCTTGCTGATCCACATCTGTTGGAAGGTGGAGAGGGATGCCAAGATAGAACCTCCAATCCATACTGAATACTTGCGCTCTGGGGGTGCAATGATCTTAATCTTCATGGTGGATGGTGCCAGGGCAGTAATTTCCTTCTGCATCCTGTCAGCAATACCTGGGTACATTGTGGTACCACCAGACAAGACAGTGTTGGCGTACAAATCCTTACGGATATCTACGTCACACTTCATGATAGAATTGTAGGTAGTCTCGTGGATACCACAAGATTCCATGCCCAAGAAGGAAGGTTGGAAGAGGGCTTCAGGGCAACGGAACCTTTCGTTGCCAATGGTAATAACCTGACCGTCAGGAAGCTCGTAGGATTTTTCTAGGGAAGAGGATGATGCGGCCGTTGTCATTTCCTGCTCGAAATCTAGAGCAACATAGCAAAGCTTTTCCTTAATGTCACGAACGATTTCTCGTTCAGCAGTGGTAGTGAAGGTGTAGCCACGTTCAGTTAAGATCTTCATAAGGTAGTCGGTAAGGTCACGTCCGGCCAAGTCGAGACGCAAGATAGCATGGGGAAGGGCATATCCCTCGTAGATAGGAACAGTATGTGACACGCCATCACCAGAGTCCAAGACAATGCCGGTGGTACGACCAGAGGCATACAGGGACAGCACAGCCTGGATAGCTACGTACATGGCGGGGGTGTTGAAGGTTTCAAACATAATTTGTGTCATCTTTTCACGGTTAGCTTTGGGGTTGAGGGGAGCTTCAGTAAGCAGGACTGGGTGCTCTTCCGGTGCCACACGCAGTTCGTTGTAGAATGTGTGATGCCAGATCTTCTCCATGTCGTCCCAGTTAGTGACGATACCGTGTTCAATGGGGTATTTTAGTGTAAGAATACCTCTCTTGCTCTGTGCTTCGTCACCTACGTAAGAGTCCTTCTGGCCCATACCCACCATCACACCCTACGACAAGAAAAAAAAAATTATTACTTTTATAAGTGTGGATTTATGACAAATACATTAAAGTTAAGAATTACTGGGGCACTCGCTTGGGGGAAAAAAAAAATTGTGGTAACTGTTTTGGATAGGGGAAGGTATAAAAAGAGTTAAACTTCACAGTTCAGGAAATTTTGGGGAAAATAAATACTAACCTGATGGCGGGGTCTTCCAACGATGGAAGGGAAGACAGCTCGGGGGGCGTCGTCCCCGGCAAACCCGGCCTTGCACATGCCTGAACCATTGTCCACAACTAGAGCAGCAACCTCGTCGTCACACATTTTGAGTTATTACTGCAAGGAAGAAAGTGTACATTAGAAGCCTCAACCGCAATGAGTTTCTTTGTCACACTAAGATGCACTTTAAAAAGTCACTTTAGTAAATGCCTAAGGACTGTACGAGGATTATGGCAAGTAGATTCCTGTTATTAACGTTGAACCGAAGGGGGTTAACGCTGGCAAAATTATAATTAAATTTCTCAATTAACGATGTTAATAGTGACACTACCACTGCACAAGTTCACTCGTACCTAGTTAATATCACAGTCACTGACTAAGTGTGTTGCGGGACGTGCCCGGGAGGTGTGTACAGCTTCAGTACCCGTGTTCAACTGTGCTGCTGAACACCCTTCACCATCCTTATATCACCATCAACCCCCCCCCCCCACCGACGTCACAACCCCCCTCCCCCCGCACTCCATCCCTCCCCTCCACATCCTCCTCCATATTAGGTTCACTAACTAGCCACTTTCTATTCAGCTCTTTAAAAGGTAGCTCATATTTTCTCACTGGACACTAGTAAATACTTCACCAGGATAACATTCACAACCTGAACATTAACCACACAAACTTAATTTTCCATAGTTAACCACAAAATCACATGTCAACTCACCGGTCTAGTAATACCAGCGTTGAACCACCTGTTAGACCACCTGTTCTGGAAACTTTAATGCACTAGACGAAGTGAGCGATAACGTTAATAATAACGTTAATGATAACCAGTCGACACGCCCATTATATTAACTAGTTTGAAAAGTTCACATTAAAGCAGATAAAAATTCTGGCTAATGCCTAGAAACGTATATAACACCACATTTAAGAGATGAGCACTAGTTAAATACCGCAAAATGTGAAGGAAACAGTTACTTACTTCCAGCGGACAGGCGAGTGCACGACCGTACTTGTCAAGGTGGTGATCGCAAGTGAGGGAGTGGTGAAGAGCGCTCCTCCAGCACCAACAACTTCACCTTTCCATGCGGGGGAAGACCTACACTCTAGTTTCTTCCAGCTCGTCATTTCAGCTTCCAGTTCGCCTTCTTTACGCCTCAAGAGAAAGCTGTTTTAAAAACTAACAACTCCTCTGTCTTTCTGAAGGTGATTAATTGGTAATAACTGAAGGAGGAGGTTAAACACGTGTTGAGAGAAGGACTCCCCCGCGGGTGTCGCCGCAGTGGCCTCGTCCACCACGCCCGACAAACGTACATGGCCTTATATGGACATAGTGGGAATCGCGGCCGCTGATTGGCTGAAACTCGCCGTTGAATGCGTGGCGGGAAGACGAGAACTCAGCACTATCACTCACCTTCGTTCTCTTTCATATTCCTTCCTCCAACTTTTACAAGTTTTAAGTGCTTGTAGCTTAGCTGGGTTATTGATCTCGAGAAAATTTATACTTGATTAGCATGTATATGGTGAGAGTGAAGCATTTCAATATAGGCAAAGTGTGAGAAAGTTAGACTTGTAGTATATAAAGGCAGTGTTGCAGAGAACATCGCTGAATGAAACATAATGAAAACAATGGCTAGAGCCAGCGTACTGGATCACGGCTGCCAACTGCATGTAGCCCCGCTTTCAGGAGCCTCCATATGAAAAATCCTTGGGCTTGCTTTATTCGGTTACAGGGCAGGAGAGAGAGTGTTGTAGTAAGGGGCTGGCTCTTGGCTTCAAGTGATTTCCGAGGACTGGGGGCGGCTATTTTGTTACTGGTTCTACAAGTGAGAGCGTGGAAGGTGTTGACACATGAGCCATCAGTTGGTAGTTGTGGTAAGAGACATGACCGGCAATGCTAGAGTTGTGCCCAGCCTTGGATCACTCTATATTACCTCATTAACACTTAAAATCAAAGTTCGTTCATTGCTGTGAGCTCTGTGAACTTTTAAGAAATAACACGGAATGAGGAGAAAGTCCAGATTGCTTTAAATGTAAAAGTTTTGTCATGTTACATGGAGGCCGCCGCTTGTGACAGGAAGGCTCTGACACATCTCCATATATGGTATTTCCTGGAGGTATCTGTCACTACTACCATGGAATATGTAATTTATTGTCAACATGTTGGGCGTGACACAATCATGGGAACCGGAGTCCTGATACTATATAAACTAGCAACATTAAGGCAGCAACTTAAACGTTTTCAACTGAATGGTAGACTAATTTATATACTTTCACTCTACTAGCTTAGTAAGTACTGGGTAGAGTGCAACACGCACTCCACCCTCACTCTACCACACTCACAAGTGATTTTTTTCCCTTCCTGCTGGCCAGCAGCCTGCACCACCATGATCTTTAATGTCTAAATTAAACTTGCATCGATCCAAGGAACGGTTACCCTGTCTGTGTCTGTGTCTGTCTGTGTCTGTGTCTGTCTGTGTCTGTCTGTCTGTCTGTGTCTGTCTGGTAAGCATGGTATGGTGCCATGGATGACAACGTGAAGGATGATGGTGGTGACTGATTATTCATCATGGTTCACGTGGTCCGGGTGGCCGGGGGGTGAAAGCTGAGGCAGAGAAGCAGACTGAGGGAGAGGTAGGAGTGAAGGAGGGAGAGGTAGGAGTGAAGGAGGGAGAGGTAGGAGTGAAGGAGGGACAGATGGGAATAAGGAAGGAGGGAAGGTAGGATTGGGGTAAAGGGAGGGAGGGGTTTAGAAGTGAAGGAGAGAGGGAAAGTAAGGTAGGGATGGCAGCCGGGATTTTGGGTAAAACCACCCCCCTTTCCCAAAACCATGATAGTTACCCCCCCCTTTAACATACATTCGACAGAAAGTGCGACACCTTGTTATACCACCATAAAAACCCCTATAAAAACCCCCACGTATAACCAACAGTGCGGGGGTGATAGACGATGATGGGGGTTCGTTATAACGAGGGGGATGCTGGGGAGGGGCTGTACACGTAAACTCTTTGTTTTTTTGTTTTTCCCCCTGCAGGATTTAAACTCATTTAATTAAACCCTTATTTAAACTTATGGGGGGTTGTAACAGGGGTTTTTATCATTGCAATTTTTTTTTTTATCTATCGTTTGCACTGCTTCTTTTGAAGGGATTTATATATACTGTATTTGGGCAATCTTCTCAACCCCATCGACTTAAACTTGCAATAAAATTCTTTGTCACTGCGTCCCTAACTATCTTGCTAACAAATCTTTTTTGGTTGATGATCTGAGGGGCTTTTTCGGGATGAACATTTTATAACATTAACCTAATGGTTAGTTGTTAGAACAAAAGGAAAAACTTTACAGCATCTAACGTGAGGGGTTAGTAAATTTAAAATTTTAAAACATAAGGGAAAAAGGCCCTATTTTTTTTTTTTTATATTTTATTTTAAAAACACAATACACATATAAAATTATTTTGCTTTTCAAAAGTCACATAACCAAAGACATGAAAAACCTTTAAAATACTAAAAAAACAAATAAATTCCACTTCCCTTAAAAAAAAACATAGCTAAAGGGCCAATTACCACCACCCTACACACCCAAAACAACAGGGCCTAAAAAATTTTCCCTTACAAAAATTTAAAAAAAGGGCCAGGGGCAGAAAAAAATTTAATTTACAAAAAACCGTTCTAAGAAATCCCAAAGGACCCTTTAAAAATTTTTGGGTTTAAAAACCCTACCTCATTAAACCCTCTGAGTTTTTAACCAAAGTTGGAAATTTGAAAAACAAAAAAAATCACAAAAAAAAATAAAAAAAAAAAAAAACAAAAAAGGAAAAAAAATTTGGGACTTTAAACATTGCTATAAAACCCCTTTGGTATAAGGGGAAGGGAATTAACCCAAAATTTTTAAACATAAAAAATTAATAAAGCATCAAACCCTAAACTTTCAAACTGTCTTTTACTTTCCCTAACATGGAGTTTACTTAAAATAAAAGGGGAAAAATACTTTAAACATGCGGGCCCCCCCGTTTAGAAAATAGCTTATAAAAAGTTTTAAAATATAATCCCAGCTAAAATTTTATATATTAAAACCCATTCCCCCTACAACAAAAATAAATTGGTTTAAAGATTCAAACTTCCCCAAAAAACCCTTTTCCCTTTTTTGACACAAAAATTTAAAACTTTCCTTGAAAATTGTAAATTCACTAATGAATGTGGGGAAAAATTTATTAAAAAACTTCTTCTTTTATAGGAGTACAATTTGATAGGAAAGTACTTTTTTACCAGAAAGTTTTTTTAAAAAACTACAAAAAAACAAGCTCTTTCCTTTACTAACTTTACTCTTGGGACGTCGGGTTTTTTCCTTGTTTTAAATTTTTAATTTTTAACACTTTTAATATCAAAAAAGAGGAAATTACGGCAGTACCATTTTTGTACATGTTTAGTACGGCCTGACATAAAAACCAAAACCAGCTGGGGAAAGCCACCTTTTTTTTGGGACAATAAAGGCAAAAAATTACCCCCAAACCCAAAAAATTGTAATTGTTGACGTTCCAGGTTTTTAATTTGAAGGGAAACCCGGGTATTGAAGGGCAAACCCAAAAATTTAACCTCGGGAACCCTAACCAGTTCCCCAAAATGTACCCCACTCATTTGTCCCCTTCTCCCCTCCCTTCCCATTACAAGCCCAACCTTACACCCGCCCCCCCCCAAAATTAAAGGGACCACCCCTTGGGCCCCCCCCCCTGTTCCCTGAAAAGTTGGTTTAAAAGTGAGATTACGAAAACCCACCAAAAAAATTTGTTTCCCACCCTTCCCCCATATTTTTAATTATTCCTACACCTTGTCCTAAAGAACCTTCTGCTAACGCTTTTATCCTCAACTCCCTTTTTAATCTGCCCCCTACCCCAAGAAAGTGCAAATAACTGCCATAACTTTCATCAAAGCCCTCCCCACGTCATTTTCCAACCCCCACAAACACCCTTCGCAAAGACCTAAAAAAAAACCAAACCCCCCCCCCCCCAACCCAACCTAATCCCCCCAAACCCCCGCCACCCAAACCTCTCCCCCACGCCCAAAAAATAAACCCAAAAATTTCCCAAATGATGGATTTTCCTCCCCCCCCACAGAAAAAAACATGTTGCCTCTCTCACAAAACCCCCATCTATGAACCCTGTGCTTAGATGCAACCCCCCCCCTGGGAAACGGTTTTTACCCCTCTCCCTAAAACCCCTGCTGGGATCCCAACTTCCTAAATCCCCCCCATTAAAGAACCCCCCAGTTATACATGGGGTTTTACTGCGACCCCCCGCCCAAAAAAACCCCCTTCCCCCACCACACCCAACCACCGTGTTTACCCTTCCAAATTTTAACCCGCCCCCCTTTTCAAAATGAATCTTATTACATCTTCACACCCCTCAAATCCCTACCCCACACCACCAGTTTCTAGTTTCCCCCATCACCCAAACCACCCTAACAAACCCCTCTCCCCCCCCACTCTTAATACCTCTGCTTTAATATATTGCCATTTTTCCCAAGGGGCCCCAAAGGGCCCAAAAATCCTTGGGCCCCCCCCTTTCCCCCTCCGTCCTGACCCCATCCTTGGGCAAAACCCCGGGCCCCCCCCAAAAACCCCCACACAAAAACCCCCCAAAACCCTCCTCTGTATTTCCTGTATATCCGGGAAACCCCCAAAAGGGGAAAACCTCCGCCCAAACCCCCGACCTTACTATTTCACCACCCAGTTAATTACCAAACCCCCCCTGCTGGGAACGCCACTTCACTGACCCCCCCAAACCTTTTTAAAATTACCTATAACCCTATTCCCGGGTGTTTCTGATTTTTAAACCCCCACCTTCCCGCAACTGCTTCATATACCCTATCCCCCACCCTAATTCCCGTCACAAATCATCCCTCCCCTCTCCTCCCCCAAAATTTCCCCCCCAAACCCCTGTTTTCCCACTTTCCCAAAAAACCTAGACTTTGCTAAATTTTAATGCCATTCCCGAAAGCTTCCCCAAAAAATCCTTTTCAACCCCACCCACCCCTTCTTAAAGCCTCCCCAAATCGTAACTAACACGTTTTTCTCACAAAACCTACTATTCCCCCCATTTTCCCCCCCTTTCCCCCTGCAAATTCTGCCTCCCCAGCCCCCAA